GCAGGGCTGTCCAGCTGCTCCTGGACTTCTTCTGTGGGCTAATGTCTGCTGCTAGTTTTTTCTGGAGTACAAGATGACAGTGCTGTTCTCCATGGTTAGGGGCTTTGAAAGAATATGATGTGTTATTGTCTTAAATTGTCGTGTTTCTTTTGTTCCATTTTTTTGGTGAAAGGTGCTACCTGACGGTGCCTGCCATCCATAGGAGATGCACCATGTGCAGTGTATCGAGTCACAGCATAGGCACAAAAATCTGCTGCTAGCTCTGTGCCAGCGTGGCTTAAGCTGGAGCTGAAGGATCAGGCTGCTGTGACTGACGGGTGCCTGCTCTGTGCTAGGATCCAGGCGAGGTGTGCTGGTGGTGGTTTGTGCTGGGGCAGCAAAGGTGCAGAGACCGCCTGAGGTTGGTTGTCAGTCGCCTGAAAGCGGACAGCGTGACTCAAGGTGGTTGGTACAAGATAGAAATAGCTTTGTGCTCCAGGAGCCAGTTGATGTGTATTAATTAATCGAGTGGATCACGTTAAATCACAGAGCAGAGAAGCGTTTTGAAATGTCACTTGCCATCTTGTGGCCTCCCTGTGCTCCAGGAGTGCTTGCTGTGATTCCAGGTTATTTTTCTGCCGTGGGATCACGAAGCAGTAAATGACATGATATCCCTTTTCTGTCACCCAGACAGCCAATAAACATCCTAATCTCAGTTGCTGCACTGAAGAGTAGATTTACAGCTATGTGGTGGGCATAAAACAAATGATCAGAGGATTCAAAGGCAGCCTCCTGCAGCAGACAGGCCTAGTAGCAAAACGTGATTCTTTTTGTTTTGTTTTAAAATTTGCTGACTTGATTAATACAGCCTGACGTATGGCAAGCTGTTCGGCATAAACTCAGACGTATTTTCCCTCCCCCCCATCTCCCCTCCTCATCCTTCATTTGTTTCTGAATGGCTTCTTGCATAAAGAAGTCACTGTGAAAGATACCCCCTGTAAATATGCTATATTTCATGTGCTTCCTTGTGTGTTCTCCTGATTGCAGAGTTGGGCTTTTGTGTAAAATAAAGATCTTGGATCCGAGAAAGGTGCAAGTGTCCACAGTGAGGTGGTGTCAGGTTCTCTGCACCCATCTGCCTTCTCGCTGGACCAAGGATGGAGTAAAACCTCATTAAACCCCATTCTTCTGTACTTCAGGACAAGCAACACTTCCCAATGAAAGCTCAGAGAGGTCCGTAACTTAACCCCCCAATGAGATACGTTAGTAAGACAAAACTTCCTGAGAGTTTTGTCAGCATGATTTAATGGGACATAGTCAAGCATGATTTAATGGGGCATAAAATGCCTCCTTACTCTGATATCCCATTGATCTAAATGAAACACAAAACCGTAAGGGATCTGTTTCTTTTTGCTATTGATTCATGGCATTTTGATATAAATCCTGAAAGCAGGTGCCAAACTACATTTAACTGAGCAGAGCAGGATTTAGTGGGGAAAATGCCAGTGTGTAACCTGTGCTAATTAGTTTACAGGTGTTGGCAAGTAGCTGGTGTTGTGTGCTTTACCAGTCAAGTGTTTCTTACTTACCAAAGAGGGAAGTATGAGGGATTAACTGCAGTCTACTTGAATTTTCTCCAGTTTGTGCTGTTTTCTGATGTAAAGGCCAGGTATTGCCCTTTTGTAAACTGGCACAGTGCCTGTGTCTGGCAGCACTGCCTTGGGTCCATAGGCTGATGTGCGCTCTGCTGCTGAGCACCTGGTGCCGGGGGCGCAGAAGTTTCTGAAACAGGCTTTTGGTAATGATGGAAAACTGGAAGTGGGCTAATGTCAGTTTAAGAAGAGGTGCTGGTCTTTAAGTCTATGAATTTCAATGGATTTCAGTACATGACACCAGCAAATGTATATTGTGTTCGTCTCGCCATTGTAATTTTTTTTTAAATGTAAAAGTTTTCACAATGCATGCAGTTGTTGCTTTGGAAATCCAGTTTTACTGGACTCAGAGTTGCTTGCAAGCAGACTGGCCAGGGTGTGAGCAGAGCATTAGAAATAAAACCTATGATTGTCCTCCTAGAACACACGAGAAGCTGCAAAGGTCTCCCAGCCTGTGCAAAAATTGATTTCCTTTGGTGTTAGTTCAGGTTCTGAATAAGCTTGGAAAAACCTCAGCACAACAGGCTTATTCTAGAGTTTTTCCCTGTTGCTGGTTAGTCTCAAATCCCCCTGAGGATGTTCTCGAGTGTCACATTTATCTCATTAGTTGCAAGTCCCCGAAGAGACAAGCCCACGGTCTGGGCCAAGGATGGCAGCTGTGCCAGAATCGAGCTCTGGCTGTGTGTGTGTGTGTTCCCTTTTGTATAATTAGCCAGTCTTGAATCCTGAGTCTAGATGTATTTTGGCCTGGGAGCTGAATTTGGAGGGTGCTGTCTGGTGATCAGCTGAATGCCCTCTCACCAGAGGGTGATGAGCGGGGGCAGGAGGGATGATACCTCAGATGTGGTCTGGTAGCCGGCACGTTGCTGAAAGGCACGGGCATGCCTGGGAACTTGTCCCTGAGCCCTTCGTCATTGCTCCTACTGGGACCCAGGCTTGGTGCTGCCTGGCTGTGCCGTTCCTCTGTGTTTCACCTGAAACACTGAGCGCCGCAGAGTCCGGATCAGTCCCTTTTGTGTTTAAAATGCTTAGAAGACAAAACAAACCAGCTAAACCGCTTCCCATCTCTTGCAGTCATTATTCCTGCTGTTTTAACAAGTTCTCTGCTGACCCTTCTAATTATGTTTGCGATTGAGCTCTTCTCCTGCCTCCCTGGCCCCACGAGAGCACAGAAGCACCAGGTGTTCTCCTGCACGAGTGTTTGTCGACACGTCAGCTCGACAGTAATGAACCTCTGTGGTGAAGCCTGGGGGCTGCAGTCCAATAGCACGTGGCTGTGGGCAGAGAGCTTCCCTTAACCCAGCTGCTTTTTGCACCAGAGGCCTGTGTGAGGAAGGCTGACAAACCAGAGGTTAATTTGTTTTCAAATTGCTGCCTTCCCCGTTCCTGTGGTCACAACCAAAGCCACCAGAGAGAGAGCGCAGTGTTTATGCGAAGCCTTTGCCTCATTCCTCCTGCCGATAGGGAACGATAGCTCTGTGCACACGAGCGGTGCGGGTAGATGAGGTCCCCACTCCTTCCCTGACTTATCTCTTCTCCCCATATCTTTGCTTGCCTGTCCTTAGCAACCAGGTGAGGAGAACAGTGATAAGAGGAGTGCAAGGTGAATGCAAATCATCAGCACACGAACCTCATAGGGCTCGGTGTGAATTTTCCTCCAAACCACTTTGATCACAAACTGAGTTCTTTGTTCCCCAGAAGTGTGCACGGGGGGGAGGCTTTTCAGAGGTGTGCAGTTGTTAAAAGGAAATACTTTTGATCCCATGGCCACTATTCCTTCAGTTTAGCAGGTGTCAACATATATAGAAAGCAGATTTTTAATCTCATAGTCTGTTCAGTTCAACTTTTGTGCAAAGATTACAGAATTGCCCCATTGTGACTGTTCATTCATTTTAAAGAGAGATCTGCTTCTTGGAAGATACTTTTTGGCATTCAGTACGTTCTTGTTTGTAGAGAGCTTGGGTTGCTTTAGGGTATGCAACAGTTAAATCAGGAAATACATCCTTGTTTTCATCCAGCATACTTGTTTAACTAAAGATTCATAAAGAACCATGCTTCTGTTAAAATCTTCATCTCTAGTATCTCATTTTGGAGTCTAAAGAATGCCTGCAGTTGCCTAAGAAACGCCCAGTACAATTAAATACAGAGTTGTTGTTGGCGAGTCAATGAGCTTGAAGCTACGCCTGGATATCGTTCCTGCGTTTGTTCTTTCTTTGCTTATCAGGGCAGGATTTACTTGGTAAACGCTCATTGTAATTCTACGAACTCTGCTAATGTTGCATGTCTAATCCAGCATGAATGGGGAGAGGGAGCAGCAAGGCTCGTTTTCTTGTTCTTCCTTTGCATGTATTTATTACAGGGAAAGATGGAGAATTTAAGTTGCTCAAAGTAGTTAAAGATCACCTGTTTGCTTTCTGCAAGTGCTTAGTTAAGGCTAGGCTTTTATTTAGGGTGAAGCGTGGCATAAAACTTCATCTGCATCTCATTGGGAACTGCATGTACTCCTTAGAGAGCTCTGGGTTACCTGAAAGATCTCTTCTCCTTAGAGCTGCCACAATTCTGCTCCATGTATGTCCTCGGTTGTGATGCCTGGTGTACGCACATAACGTGAACCTGTTGCTTGCCAGGGATGAAGCTGGCTGGTAGGTGATATGGGAACACCTTCCACCTCTCTCTGGCTCTGATACGCAGAAATGCGCCTGAGCAGATGCCTAGCCACCAAAACGAAGCTCGAGTTAAGCAGTTACTCCTGAAACCCAAAGAAATGATTGCAAATCTTTGTTTTTAACTTATAGTGGCTGCGAAGTACAAAGACACCAATTCACAGCAGTGCTCTGCTGGGATACTCCAGAGACTGAAATGTATTCAGAAGAATCTATAAAGAGAGTTAAAAAATTACTAAAACTATTTAACCAAGGGTCATTTTGTATTCATTTCATTCCAAGGCAAATGGGAGGAAAATTCACAAGTGTGGTTTAAGAACAAAACTAACTTCTGAGCAGCTGTTTAATCTTAGCACAGAACAGGAAGGTGAGGTTTCTCTTTAAATGAGGAAAGACTTCCTCTGTTCTAGCAGCTGCCTGTTATGTGCCTATGGACATGTATGGACACACAAATGCAACCTGAGTTAAGTGAACTGTGGCTTTGCACCCTGCCCTTGGTGCTCTCCCAGCCCAGAGGATGCTCTGTCATTGCTGTCTTCCTAGAGAGCACTGCTGAAGTTATGCCCAGGCACTAACACACACATTGTGCAAAGCAATGTAGTGTTGGCCCTCGTCCTTGCCACGTATTAAACATGTGCCTAGCTCTAAGTGCTGCAGTGTGTGCTCTGCTAACCCCGTCTTTCTCTTTTTCTCCTTTGTGCTGCAGGTGCAAAGAGCTGAAATACGGCAAGGACCTACCCCAGATCTCCATTATCTTCATCTTCGTGAACGAAGCACTGTCGGTTATCCTGCGGTCGGTGCACAGCGCTGTTAATCATACCCCAGCTCACCTGCTGAAGGAGATTATCCTTGTGGATGACAACAGTGATGAAGGTAAGTAGTGCTGGGATCTTGGATCTCCAAAACCCTCAGGAGGGTGTTTAACTTCTTCAAATCTCCTGGAGGGGTTGTTTCCTTTGGCAGTGGTGATGCTGCAGGGAGGCATGTGGCCTGATACGATGTGGGTGCTAGCTAGCACACTGGTTCTACCCTGCCCCGTTTCTCCAGCTTTTGTAGCAAAAAAGCAACGGGATCAAACTGAAGTTAAAATCTGAAATAACTTTTAATTGGAAGCATTGTTGAAAACTAGAAGGCTATAAAAAACGCAGGGTGTGATCTTAACCCTGTATTCACAGTAGCATCCACCAGTTCTGGTTTCAGGTGTATATTTATTTCCACTCGCAACACCTGGGTTGTTGCAGCAGTACACCTCTAAATGCTTACCATGGAGCCGAGGGACAAGACCCTGGAGACCATGTCTTATTTCTGCTTTGGCTCCTCACAGTGGTGTTAAACAAGACATCTTCCCCTCTGTGTGCCTCAGTTTCCTTATCGGTAAAATCAAGTCCCAGACTGTCTTTTTTTATTTAATTATTTCTTTAAAAGTCTGGGATCTGCAGAGATGCTGCTTCCTCTGCAGAGGACGCTGCAGAGATGTTATATTTCTGATGTGAGAAAGATGAGTGAAGAGGAGGGAATGAACACACTAAGCCCTGTAATGGTTTTACTCATCTGGGAAGCTGAGCTCCACCACAACTGCGCTCTCACTCTCCCTCCTCAAAGGGAAAGGGGAAGAAAATACGATGGGGAAGAAAAACAGGGCTCACAGGTTGGAATAAGAATATGGAGATCACTCACCAGTTACTGTCACAGACAAAACAGGCTCAGCATAGGGTGATTATAGGCCCCTCCTCCTGTGTGGGCTCCTTTCCATGGGCTGCAGCTCCGGCCTGCGGCCTGCTCCTGCGGGGGCTCTCCATGGGCCGCAGCCTCCTCCAGGCCACATCCACCTGCTCCACTGGGGGCTCCTCCACGGGCTGCAGCGTGGAGATCTGCTCCATGTGGGACCCATGGGCTGCAGGGGGACAGCCTGCTCCACCAGGGGCCTCTCCACAGGCTGCAGGGGAATTTCTACTGCGTGCCTAGAGCACCTCCTGCTGCACTGACCTTGGGGGCTGCGGGTTTGGCTCTTACTCCTTGCTTCCCAGCTGCTGTTGCACTGCAGTTTTCTTTTGCCCTATCTTAAATCTGCTCTCAGAGAGGCACAACCGGCCTTGCTCACTGGCTCATCTCTGGTCCCTTTAGAGCCAGATGAAACTGGCCCTTATCTAACATGGGGCAGTTTCTGGGCTCTTCTTGCAGAAGCCACCCCTGCAGCCTCCCTGCTACCAAAACCTGGCCACGTAAACCCAATACAGACCCATGTAAGACAGGCCATGAAAAAATGTGGAGGAAGATGTTAGGTTTCCTGTGTTAGATACTCGTGTTTTGGTTCAACTTTCTTGCAATCTCACTGTCGAAATGCCTTCCCTTCTGGCTTTTGATAACACAAATTTTCCAGAGGTTAAATGTCACATGGAAGCATTTTCAGACTTGAATTCTTCCCAGATCTGTTCTTCCAGTGTGCAGTTGGTATCACTTGAGCAGTTAAAATCTCACAAAGATCAGCAAATGGTTGTCACTTTGATTACTGGCCACCTTCATTTACATTGCACGCTTCCAGTATTATTTAAAAAAATAATAGACATGGGCTGTGGATTCTGTGATGAGAAGGGAAGAACAGGGAGTCTGAGAGGTTACTCGTCTGTCTGCAGTGAGATGAGATGGTACACAGCAAGCTACTCAAGCCTGCAAAAATAGGCACTCAAATCCCACAGTAATGAGCACCATAGAAAGCTGATGAATTATAATTACTAGTAGAAGAAACAGGAGGCCAGCTCCACAGCTGATGGAAATCACAGCAGCTCTAGTGCAGAAGCTAGGGTGATGCACACCAGTGAAGCTGTGGGATTTCAGAGCTGGAACAATTCAAATAGTGAAGAGGAAACACAGGTGACCTGTTGTTGCAGTATTTAGTATTGCCCAGTTTGAAATACCAAAATGAGATGCTGCTACTCAAAACTGAACCATGCCAATGGGGTGAAGAGAAGAGCTCTCTTTATTAGAGAACCCCTTGGTAATAATTACTGAGCTTTTGTACCCACTGCTATGCACAAAGAAATATGTTTCTGAACAGCCTCCACCAGCCATTCAGTATGCAGCACTAATATTGAGTCAAGGACTCTGGAGACACTCATGAAAGACATGAGACAGTGAAATGAATGCTTTCAAAAAGCTTCATCCCCTGAGTAAGCTGAGACTGCAGCTGGTGTTGAGGATGTGGAATGAAATCTCTTTATCCACCACTGAGATTGCAAGCCAATGTTTTCCCTGGCGGCTTGCTGCAAGGGCTGTGGCAGTGCTGGGGGGGTTTGGTGGTGGGGCTGGGTGGTGGCAGGGTGTTGACAGGACAGCACCACGATGGTGGTTAAAGCCTGATGCGTGCTTGAGCACTCACAGCTATGGGATTTCCTCTTTGTGCCTGTTTTAGCCAGGCTGACCAAGGTGCCTGGGTTGTGCCAGCGTGCCTTGTGGCACCCACCTGGCTGGGGAGGGAGATGCAGGTAGAGGAGCTACACTGAGGGAGCAGAAATGCCTACAATGTGTGCGGGAGCTAGGAAAAGCCAACCTCCTTGTACATGGTGGTTGCATGCTCTGTGCATCCCACCAAGAGGGTGCATTGACCGCATCAGGAGTGTGAGCATACAGAGTCCCTTGTGAAAGAGCAGGGTTGGACAGAATGTGAGCACCAAGGTGGCTCTGTCCTTACAGACCTTCCTGGGGAAGTATAAAAGGAGAATGGGAGTAGGGAACAGTTTGAGGGAAGCAGGCGATGCTGTTAGCCAGTAGGGTTAGTTAATAATGTCAGCACTATGCTGTTGTCTTTGTAGGCATCATGACAAATGAGATTTTTAAGGAGGGATTTGAGGAGGATAATGAGGTAACTTGGCAGATGTTTATGGAGAGCTCATCCCAAGCGTATAATAGTCTAGTTTTCTCCTGTAAAAGAAATGATGCAAACAAATACATATCTCTTGGACCTATGCGTTCATTGTCTGCATCTTCAAGGAGTTTCAATGACAGCAAAAAATTATTAATGGCAATAACGTTGTCACATAGTTCACACTAATGGTAGGAAATAATTGTGAGCAGCAATAGCAACATCTTGCAGTTCATACTTCGGATATTGCAAACAAAGTCATTGTAATACATGGATTTATCTTCAATAGGAAAATAATTACAGGAAAATAGATTCTCATAAGCTGTAAGATTTAGCGATGGCTCCTGGAGAAGCAAGTGCTAGTGCCAAGCAGCAGGGGTGGGATTGCATGCGGGTGGCTTCCATTGAACGAGGTGAGGAGTTACTGGAGCCTTTTGGTGAGCAGCTGTGTCTGTTTGAGGGGTGGCTTCTGTGGGTGTACGGCTTGTCACAAAGCCTTTGGGCTCTGTTTTGTACACCAGGCAGGAGACTGACCTTCAGAGAGCGGGGATCTCAAAAGCAGTAGGAATATTAAAACCAGGTGGGCTCCTAGGAGCAACCTCTGGGCAAGTCACTGAAGACTTACGAGAACCTGTGGCTGCGGGCTGCAAGCCGGGGGGATGCAGGGTTCTGGTGCAGTTTTTGCCAGGGAATACTTCTCACAAACATAAAGAGGAAATAGAGGTTGGGAATATGTATAGGTAATGTAAGAGTAACACGTTTTCCCAACCCAAGTATTAAAAGACCCCTGGGATTTTCAAGTTAGCTTCAAGTTTTAAAATTAGTTGCAGGGATGGAGGTGAGATGTGTGTACTCTGCGCACCTCGGTCTGGCGTCTGTCCTTCAGGCAGCCCGCTGAATGCTTACAGAGATGGGAGCAAAGCCTCTTGGTGTTTTGCAGTTTCAGACTGGAACAAACTGCTCCTGAAGGCTCTGTAGAAGCTTTTTGCCCTCAGCTTTGTTGTAATGTGATTTGTACAACAACACTGCATAACATAAAAGTATGCAGTGAGAGATTAAAAGTTAATAAACGTGGATGTTCTGATTCTTCCTATCTGAGCTGTAAATAGATAAAAGATAAGAATGTATTGTAACTGGAAGAAAATCCCTTCTACAAGGAAGAAGATTGGGGAGTTGTAGTTTGAGTCCTTTTCCCCCTAGAGCTGCACGTTATACTTTGTAAAGACTTTTTTTGGAGGTTGCTTTTGTTTGTGTTTGTTGTAGGGGTGTAATTACAAAGTGAGTGCACAGGTTGTGTTTCTGAGTGATAACATGTTTCGTAGGTTGTTGGAGGGATGCAGCAGCATGCCCCTGAGATGCTGCGTTATCTCACAGTTGCACACTTTGTCTGAGTCTGTTGCTTAATCAACACCTGTTTTTTTTTTGCTGTCTGCCTTCTAATGTTTTTAATCTGGGATAATATCTCTTTGAAAAGCAAACCTTCTGGTATAAAAGAAAACCTTTGAATAAAAGTCTGCTTAGAGTAGCTGACTACACCCAGGTACACATGCTAGCGGTTGTAATTTGCCTCCGTGTGAAGTATTATTGGTGACTTGATGTATCACTGTCTGGTTTTGCAGCTGGTTTCAACACCAACAGCCGTGGTTTGTGTGCGCTCTCCCAGGAGCTGGCTCGCTTGCAGCGTGTGTGCATGTGTGTTGAGGTCAGTTTTTAACAGACTTGCAAGAAGCTGAGTCTTAGCTTTTCCTAGATATTGGCCTAATTATTCTAGTTGCTCAAACCTGAAGATGGGTTGTTTAATTGCAGCTGACCTGGTGCCATCCCACTGACAGTCAGGACTCGGGCTTTCAGTCCCTGCTGAAGTGGGAGGGGAGCAGCAAGCCTTGTTGGTTTGTCCCTATTTCTTTGGCTTTAGTCAGCCAGAAAGTTAAGATCTGAAGGCACTTTGTGGGACCAGCTTGGCCTCTATCTCCATACAAGAATTGGTTCACACACCTACTCCCTTTTCACAGTTTCATGTTGAATATTTACATGCAAACATTGAAAGCTTCAGAGACTCACCTGGATGTGAGTACTCACTGCCAAAATTTGCACCTTCATTTATTGACCATTGAAGGAGTTTCTTTTGTAGGTTGCTGTAGGATTCCAGCCCACAATAGCTTCAGTGTTTCAGGCAAGCGAGAGCGCGGGGCAGAAGGGAGTGCTGGTGTTCCCATGGCGCTGGAGCATTCCCAGCCCTGACCTGGGTGTCCCCCAGCCTGCAGTTTCTGATAACAGCCTTAGGCTCTGTGGACTTTTCCCACCTAGCTCAGCCTTGCAAACACTCCTGTGTTTTCCTTAGGGGCATAGAGGACACATGGTCCACTCCCTAGGCCTTGGTCTTTGCTCCTTTCTTTCTGTGCCACTGGGTAGTTCCCACCGTTGGTTCCGGGGGCTTTACCGGGGACAGGATTAGCAGCATGGAACATGGAGCAGTGGATGTTCCTTCAGTTGTTTCAGGGCTAATGTCCATGGCATAGTCACTTCTAGTGGCATCAGGTGGTTCAATTTCTCTGGCAGGCCTATTTCCCAGAAAGCTCATGTAGGTGACAAAATGCTTTGCAATACGTAACATAAGTCATTATGGCTGACAGCTGAGCTTTTTTAATAGAGCAACAGGTCTATTGGATTCTACTTTCTTGGACTTGCCCTTCAGTGAAGATCAATACAGACAGATGGAGAACAAAAGGGAGGATTGAAATTGAACCTCCTGGCATTTTCAGTATGGTTTCTTTCTGCAAATCTTTCCCGTAAGTGGCTTGTGCAATGGCAAAGACCAAATGTTCACAAATGCCTCCATGTGCAAGTATTGATTGCATCTGTAACAACTGAGATTCAGGAATGATGTGGGTGTGCTGTGAAGGATGGCCCAGGTAGGCATCTATGAAGGATGCATGGGATGCCATGAAAAAAGAAAATATAAATTTTCTTTCATATAAAAGAAAAGGGTATTCAACTTCCATGGCAGTGCTCAGCTGGGATCACATTGACAGATGTAGCCCCTGTAGATCCACCCATACAGATATCTCATGGGTTCGTGGGCTGCTTAGACACTCTTTTGATTAGGAGGAATGAAGCAGTGGTGTTTCTGAGCTGGATGTCATGCTAAAATTGTCATTGGTGCAGTATCTTGTGGACATCCTAATTTTCAGCAGTGTTGCTGTTGATGCTTTTTAGCACGGCCATGTCAGTCCTGCAGGGATGACTTGATACTCAAATGGGAATTTTGCAGAGCATTCCCAGAGAGTGGGATTTCACTTGTGGTCCCTGATACCGTTTTTTTTTTCACACCTGAACTTCTGCACGTGCTGAGAAACAACATCCAAAGCCCACCCTGCTGGCTGGATGCCGGGGAGGTACCTCCTTATACCGAGGCAGATGTGCCACATGCTCATTGCCTGCTGTGCAACCTGCCCTCCTCCTGCAGAGCTGCTCACAAGTGTGAGAGGCTGCCTGAGGCCAACACAGGTGTGCAGCCATCCTGTCGTGAGGGCTTACACAACCATGTGAGAAAAGCTAACTCTTGTCCAAGAAGGCAAGTGCTGAGGCAGACTGGGAGGGAAGCAGGGGAACTAGCCCAGAAATCTGTGCCAGGTTGTGCAGGAGGCCTATAGCACAAAGAGATGCCACGTTTCCCATGTCTGGTTAAAGCTTTTGTCTCCAAGCAATTCTCCACTTGGGAAGCAGTCCCTTAGGGATACTTGTTGTGGGCAGGGGAGGGCAACTCTGGCCTCTGCTGATGGAGGTGCAAGGTTAAAATGACGCTCAGTCCCAAAGATCTTCAGCATCCCTTCCTGGTCACAGGGGGTCCAGCCTTGTGATGTTTGACACGTGCACAGCTGTGCTGAACTGGCCTGTGTGCTCCGTACCTGTTGGCACCCAGCACCCCTTCATGCAGGAGGAGGATGCAGCTGTGGCTCCCCTGGGGGTGTCTGCCCATTACACAGCACCACGGGGTAGGAACCTCCCAGGCTCCACCTGTCACCACACTCAGGAGGTAAAGTTACAGTTCTTCCTGGCTCACTAGAGCTACACTCTCCTTCAAGCTGCTCATGAATGTTTTTTCCTGTTTCCCATCAACAGGGTAAACTTAGAACTCCAATTTTTTAAAATGTGTTTTAATTGTTCGACCTATTATAATGCTGTGGTCTGCAGTATTAATGACAAAACAGGTGAAAGGCTGGTACTGGGCTTGTGGGGTTTCATATGCCAATGTCCCTGTCTCCTTAAAACCATTCAGAAGAGTTGTTGTCTCCATAAAACATTGGTTTTTCTCTGAGTAGCTCAGCATGAAATGGAAGTTGCTGAGTTATGTATGTATGTGATGCAGATGCACTGAGTTGAGGAAGGGGCTCATTTGCTTTATTCTTTTTATTCCCATTTCAGCATAAAAGAGAAATGAGACTTTGGGGAAATTGGTATGTGAGGGGAACGATCCCAAAAAGGCGGTTTGAAGAAAGCACATTTTATGTACTTGGCAGAAGGCGTGGAGGGAAAGGGAAGAGAGGATCCCGTATCCTTTGATGCGATCTCGAGCTAAGCCCAACAGATGGGACTTAATGTTTACTTTTCTGCTCTCCACTGCTGTTTTCTTCATGTAGGAACTACTTTGTTGCTGTAACCTGTGGATTATGTTAGTGGTGATCTGGTGATCTTTTCTTTTTTTTTTTTTTTTTTTTTTTTCCTCCCTGGAAAAGGTAGTATGTGTGAGGGGTATGAACTGACCAGGAAGTAAAAGGACCAAGGCAGAGCACTAGAAAAGCCAGGCACAGAATGTGGCTTCTGTAACGGGAGGCTGGTGGCTCTTCTCACTGCAGTACGTGTGTAGTGGGGCACATTTGTTGGAAATTGGAATTTATTTGTTTGTTTGAAGTGTTGGGCAGAGTGTTTCAAAAGGTGGCAGGGTGCACGTGACAGGTTAACGCGTTGTGCCTGTACATGGGATGGTTTCCAGTCTTACGAACTGAAACTAAATCTTAGTCTGAGACTCTCAAAGATTCTCAAATGGGGCAGTTGAAATTTTGGAGGCTTTTCCAAATCGTTGAGAAAATACACTGGTATTTTCCACTTATTGCAACCCTTCATATGCTTTCACCTTCAAAAACCCAGAATGTTGTTTGTGCTCCACTGACAACTTGTAAGTACAGAGAAGTTTGGTGCTGGTCATAACTGCAGACAGAGAGATCCATGTTGTTCTCAGCCACAGCCCGTGTACAGGACAGCATAATTACATGATCTGCAGTTCCCAATGAACATAAGATACATGGTTATGAGGCTCTTTGGTATAAAGCCGAAACCTCTCTAATCCTATCATGGTCAGTCCAAAGTCAGGTCTGTGAAAGTGGTCTCTTGCAAGGCGGCGTTGACTGAATCGTAGTTACCAATAATTATGTCCCTTCCAGGGTGGTGCCTGGTTCCAGTAAGTCACGCTGGTATCCGTCAGTACAGCCGGCTGGTTTCAGGTGAAAACTGTTGTGTCTTTACAATGGGCTCTCTGGTACTTCTCCTCTAGAGGAACTGAAGGCGCCGCTGGAGGAATATGTCAACAAACGATACCCGGGGCTGGTGAAGGTGGTGCGCAACCAGAAGAGGGAGGGCCTTATCCGCGCGCGCATCGAGGGCTGGAAGGCTGCCACGGGCCAGGTCACTGGATTTTTTGATGCCCACGTGGAGTTCACGGCTGGCTGGTAGGTGCTCGACCTCGGGGTCCCTGTTAGTGTGTGTGCACGGGGTGTCCGCTGCCATGTTGGGTGGTCCGTCCTTTTGTAAGGATGTGTGTGAAAACCCGTGGCTTATTAATCTTGGCTTTCTGTACCAAATGGCCACTGGTGAGATACGTTGAGATGACAGAAGGAGTATCTTTCCTTGCTCTTGTTTTCTCTAATCATTTTCTATTCCCCGCTTTGATGGACACCCACCCCCCCTCTCCATCCGCTCTAGTTTGTTTTTCAGGTAGATTCAGGTAGATTTCCTGTTCTCTTAGCCCAAAGTACTTTAAGTTTAAAAAAAAAAAAAAAAGCAGACAGCAAGGGATTGAAAGAGAAAGCATTTCCCGCATTCTTGCCCTTTGCAGCTGGATCCCACTGGGGAAGGCTGATGTTTTAGATTGATTTGTTTCTTCTGCAGCAAAGAATAAGTGCAGAGGCACAGAAGCAGCGAAAGGTATTTCATATGGACTTTTTTTGGAGAGATTCAAAACATTTGAGTTCAAGTGGTTTAAGCTTCTGTGAATCTAAATCATGAGAGGAAACTGAGAGTGTTTTTTCTCTCTAACAAAGTGTAAAAAATAAATGGTCCAAATTTAGAGAACTGGAGGTAGAAGTTACTAACTTATGTCTAATTTGAACAGAGAGCAATGTCCACTAGAAAAAGGCTTTAACATCAACAAAGAATTCTGTAAAGTTACTGGATTTTTCTTAACAACAGCACATGTGAAGAGTGTATTTAGGAGTTGTTTCTTATGTTGATATCTGTATTCACAGCTAAACATTCCTTTCAAGGTCACTAAGTCTTCACACCCAATTTTATTGCTATACAGAGCAATTGCTACAATTTACTGAGCCCTTGAAACAGCTTTTCTAGGGATAGAGAGGGAGCATTTCTGCAGCACGGGCATGGCTCTCTGATATTTTGTACCTGCTGCTATTGATGGAGGCACCAAGAGTGGAAGTTGTTCCTTGTGTTGGCAGACCAGACCTGCTCTGTCACTGGTTCTTGGGCTGCCGAGGTGAGGCTGAGCATACCCCTGCTCTGGGCACATTTGCATGTCCCCAAGATGAATTTTGTAGCTATAGAGCCTTTTTCTTGAGCCTTCTCCTCACCTGTCTCTTTTGATGGTCCATATTTCTTCTGCGGAAAGCGACCACTTTTTCAGAGCCTTTCCTGGCTGTTGCATCAGTCCATACTGCAAGTCTGGCCCTTAGGTAATGGTTTGGCTGATTTCTTTGCTACTTTAGTAGTGGTATCAGGAAAGCTCCGTTTAAAAAATAAAGAAATTTTGAAATTTAAAAAGTTTTGAATATGGAATTACTCTTTAATAATGCTTTTTTAAACCAGCATACCAGAGAAAACATGGTGTACTGGCTCTGCAGGAAGAGATAAGTTGTAGTTTTAGAGGTTTAATTCATTTCAACAGCTTAACGCCTTAGTTTGTGAAAATCATTTTTTCCTTGCGCTGATAGCCTCAGCTTGTCCATGAATTTTCATAGAAGTAGTCAGTTGTGTAGGAGAGTGCTAAAACTCCCCAAACATGCAGGGCTGCATCTGTGTACTCCGATTGCAGCCCCACGCAAGGGATGCGTCCAGGCAGGAAATCCCATCAAACGCAAGTGCTGAAACCTCTCGCTGCATCTCCCTTGTGGCTGACAAAGCTTGGCAAGCCTTTCAGGAATCACTTTTTAATCCTGGCGGTGTAAATGCATTGTCTCCGAGCACAATTTCTGTGCTGATAGAAGCAGAGGCAAGTGGATCAGTAGGACAGGGGTAGTGCACTGCAGTCCAGGACTGCTCGCTGGCGCTGCGAGGGGCCTCGTGTTGGTCACCGACCCCCACTGGGTGGGTTTTGCTATATCTCTTTGAAGGCAGGATGCCACTTGTGAATGACAGCAGAGAGGGGTCCACGAAATTCCCTTTTATTTACTGAACAGTGACAAGACACATTTCCTCATCCTCATTTAAGTGTACAAGCTGTAGAAAAGCAACAGTGTGTGCAAACTGGGGAGAAATTAATGGTCTCTTCCTGTTCTTTGCTTCTTTTTACCACCCAGGGCTGAGCCAGTACTCTCGCGAATTCAGGAGAATCGAAGAAGGGTCATTCTTCCCTCCATCGACAACATCAAGCAGGACAACTTTGAGGTGCAGCGCTACGAGAACTCTGCCCATGGGTACAGCTGGGAGCTGTGGTGCATGTACATCAGCCCCCCCAAGGACTGGTGGGACGCTGGGGACCCCTCATTGCCCATCAGGTACGTCACAGAGCTGGGGACCATTCCAGTTCTGTCAGTGAGGTGTAATGGGGCAAAATGTGGAAAGATAAAATGAGAAAGCCAGCTTAAAGAGACTGGATATCGAATGGTAACAGGAGGCAGCTCAGAGAGACTGCCTGTTGGGCTGTAACACAAACCCAAGCCAGGGAGGGTTTCTGCTGGAGTGCTTTGGGAAGAGGTGTTATTTGGTAACGATGTGCAGAAACACAGGGGGGTATAGGAGCTGTGTAGATCTATACGGTTTTATGTTTAACTGCATTCAACAGTCACTTTACTTCAATTATAGCATTAAGTTTTTGCAAATCATAAGGAATGAGGTGATTATTCCTGTATAATGAACTAAGTGTGAATTCATGAAATATGGCACCGTGTTTTCTTGAATAAAAAGTACATTTCCTTTCCAGGCAAACTTTATAAAAATAAATCTTAGCTTGTTCCAATACTGAGAGGCCTGCATGGTCGGCAGCTCTGAAATGTTGCCCCAACCCCTTCAGGCTTTAGGTATGGGACAAGTCCATTTGGGAAGAGAATAGCTCAGTGTAGGTGGGAGGCTGAGGTTGTGCTGCATGCAGAGTTCAGTTATTTCCTCTTGACAGCCCCTAAATATGGGGGATGTAGTGTAGACACTGCTGCTTCGGGTTGTGGCATGTGGAAATTGGGGCACAGGAGTTAAAAAGAGCCAGGGCGGATGGGCAGTGCCTCTGTGCCCTGCTCTGGGAAACAGCTTCTGTACCAGACCCAGTAGCCTCGTGGTGATGTTAAATAATTAAACAACTTACTAAAATAACGTTGTTAACATGCACTGGGGGACGGATTATGAGAAAGATAAATGGGTAGTGTCCACAACAAAAAGCTAATGGAAAAATACTGTCTCTTTGCATTATGTTGTGTAACCACATACAGACCAGAAATAAATGACTACAGTTATTTTTTTGTCATATAATGCTATGAAAACTATGCACTTCATGACAGTATGTGTATGAAAGGGATGCCAGTGCAGTACTCCATGTAATTATGCGTGGGATTAGAGGAAATTCTTAAATTATCATATACAAAGGTACATTAGTTTTAGGGTGACCTTTTAAGATAAGAGTGGGAGTGGAAAAAGGCAGTTTGTTCCTTTTTGGGGGATGTGTGTGTGTGCGTCTTGGTTTTCTTTGCTTGTTTCATATCGGTGGTGCACGCGTTTTATGGCAGCCTCAAGAGCAATTCCCCTGCCTGAGACAGAGGCTCCAGCGTGCCCGTGAGCCTGGTGTGACAGCCCCTACCAAATCAGCAGTGGAGACCGGAGACAGGACAGCTGTGGGAACACGTTTGGAGGCAATTTTCTCTCATGGATTATTCACAAGATATAATTATCCAGGCAGAGTGCTGATGGCATGAAACTCATCTAAAATATGGCCTGGTCCCAAACTGGCTCCAGGTTGCTGCTCTGTCCAATAATTTTCCCAAAGAAAGTCTTTTTGAATGACTAGGACTGCTATAATACCTGGATTCTGTAATACATCTCCTGGACTATTTTTTCTATTAACATTTAAAATTCTGATACACAAAGACACCTTCGATCTTAGCACTCTGTTGTGCATGCATTTCACAGCTAGACTTTCCTTGCCAGGCTTATGGACCTCCTCTGACTACTTTCTGCCCAGAAGATAAAATTCTGCCCAGCGTAACGTATGATGTCTAAATCAGTCCTCATAGAAGAGGCAGACAGTAACTGACATTTTAAAGTCATCATGTAGATCCTTTTCTGCATCAGCATGAGCTCTGGTGAAGATATTTGAATTTTCTAGTTCAAATGTTATTAATTTGTATGTATAAAGGAATCCATGTGTGTGTACATATCTGGAAGTTCTTTGCACTAGGAGATGTAGCCAAGATTTATCCAGTCCTTTGTTATTATTGAACTCAATAAATGTTTACTGAAGGTCCAGAAAACCTGCGTATCAAGGAAGAACAGAAGAAAGCTGATGCTTTCTGTGTCCTGCCCAAAACAGGTCTTTTGGAATGCTGTGAAATTGCATGTTGACCTGATCTGGCAGCAGGTTATTCCCAGGGTGGGATCTGCCCTCTTGCTGTCTCCAGGACAGATTCATTTCCCACCTGGCAGATCGTGATTTTCTGGGGGCTTTTCAGGGTATGGAGCCTGTCTGCTGCTACAGCAGTGCTGGGCTGTGAACTCCAGCACCAGCAATTTCTTCTGCTTGACTCATTTAGTTCATGCTGCATCAGGTTTTGTCAAAAAGCAGCTTTGGAGAAATTGCTGATATCTGGAAGATTTATGGCTAGATGTGCTGATTGCACTCCAGTTGCAAGACTCATGATTTATAATTACGAATGTGACATATTGATGGCTCCAGGGGTCTGATTCAGGAAAACAATTAAATGCACTCTTGCATCTTTGTCTCTTCAAGAAGCCAAGTAAGCAGATAGTGCATATTAAGCAGACTTGAGGATGAGGACACTTACCTGAACATGGAAATTAGGGGTGTCATGCTTCCCTACGGGCAGTTGAGCGCATGAGCCTCCAGAGAGAAGAGACTTGAATCTTGGGGCTTGGCCGGTGGGTCCATCGAGAGTGCTGTGACCCTGGTGGTCACACTGGTAGATTATTTAGAATATAATGCATTCCCTGACTTTGTATTTTCTGCACTTTTCTGGTGGATCTGCTCAGTCTGGGAGGCAAAAACATTGCTGAATAGCTGTAGTAATTAGCAAGCCCCCTTAACTGTGTTGAGGCTGAAGGAAGGGTCCTGGGTGGCTTCAGAGGCAACAGAGGCATCTTTGCAGGCACTGTGGTGTGCTGGGGCCAGCTGGGAGCCAGCTAGAAGGTTAAATTGGACTTGGGATGAGGCTTGGCTGCGGCTGTTTTATGTGGTACTTAATCTTTAGTGGTGTTGGAAGGCAAAAGCTCATGTAATTAGTATTAAGATCACTGTGAGGAGGAAATTGGTTTTGAGAGCTATGGATTGTAAAAGAACAGAAAAGCTGGTGGTGTTTGTTTCTTTTTCCTAAAGATGAAAATAATTTGAGTTAACCCACCCAATTACCTGTTATCTCAGCCTCAACTGCTAATGGATTTGCTCTTGCAACATACTTATGAAAGAGAGCTCTCATCCTGGTTGCGTAAATGATGCCGAGTTTGAGATGGAAGAAATAAAAGGGGATTTAGATTATTAAATGTCATGTGAGTGGAGAGAAGGTGCCTAGTTCTACAGCTCACCAACATGCTTGTGGTGTTCCCTATAAACTGCCCCTTTGGACACAGGCTGCAAGTAACATTGAGGTTTCCCACTCTTGGCATGTTTCATTTGTAGTAAGACCATAGGGATTTGTGGTGGTAGGTATTACTATTATTTTATATATACTTACATATATTTTTTCAGAAACAGCTAGATATTTCCTTAACTGCTTACAGCAGCCATCATCCCCTGATGGCTTTCACAAGCACAGAAACGTGGTGTTTTCTTTATTTTAATTGATTGGTGTGTTCTTTCCTCTTTAATTTAGCCATTGAGACTTTTTCCAGGCAGCTGTTACAGCCTGAAGCTTTTGTACACACGGGATATGCTCAAACCTTTAAATATCCACAGCAATAAAGCAGTTCTCAGGAATAACTTTTCCCATCATGCAGAATGATGCAAGTGAGCTTTCATGTTTAGGATGACATTCCTGCATCTGCACCTTTGCAGGGACAGCATATTACACCAGCACATCAAAACCTCTAGATAACTCTAGACAGGCTTGCTTAAACTGCTGTATTTTCACCAACTTTCAAGTACTCGGCATGGCAGTCTTATTAGAAGGCTTCCAGCAAGTCCGAGTTGCTGCAGACTGTTACATGCCGGTGATGTTGTGAGGGCTGGGCAGAGTTTCAAGGATTATTTCTTGGGGGTTATGTTTTTGAAAAATCTCAAGCTCCCTAGGAAGCTGTTTGTACAAATGCTGCATATTCTTAAAAATTAGTGCTTGCTGACTTTAACTAGCATCTCCGAACTGCAGGAACGTTCCCATTTCTGTGTAAAGACAGGTGTAAAATGTTCTCACTCCTCTGGTGTAGCTGCTTTGGAAGTCAAAGGGAAAGCTGATTTCCATAAGAGCCAGACAGGGGGTGATAATGCTAACTTGGTTTGGAAACCTCACCTGGTATGTCTGAGAAGATGCTTGTGTGCAGGTGTTTGCTTAGAGGGATTGGATGTGTGTGAATGTCACAACAGCTGCAGAACACTTACGGAGCTCTGTAATGGCTTTATATAAAGTTTAAATCAAATACAAAGATAAAATAATGGTTCTGGTGATCCATCTCTGAAGCCCCTTCTCATAAGCAGATAAAAGAAAACAAAGCTCTGTGTTGACCACACAAATGCTTTCTAATCTTTAAAGTCTGATTCCCCTCCAAGCCCTCTACTTGCTGCAGTTGCTTGTCCAGGGGGGTGACATCCTGCTGCCAAGTTTATAGCAAAAATCCCCACGTCCTCAGTGAATGTTGGAGCCAACCTTAGACCAGTCTGAGATCAGTGTGGATGTACTGCCACAGGTTGTGAGTGCTCCTGGGAAGAGCTGGTACAGGCACCTTATGTAAACATCTAAATAAATCAAACCCTGGCTGTCTTTGGTGTGCTTGCTGGAGACTCGTGCTTCCATGTATATCACTTTTAAAATTAAGGCCACTCCTGGCTGGCACAGGTCAGAACAGAGGCCTCTGACAACTTGTAAACAGCCTACCAGAAGACAGAGAGGGATTTTTTTCATCAGTATTTAATTTGGGGCAGTCTTGCTTGGACCTATATTCTGGGAGAGAGAAGGTTTAGGTCAGAATCCTGATCTCAATAAACTTTGTCATCCATCTCTGGATTAAATTACAACCATCAAGCATTTTACCTAGCTTCAAAAGTAGTTTTACAGAAACCTTTTTAGTTTTATCAGTGTGGGCTTGCCATATAGTTATGAGTTTTTTGGTGATGATTTGAAGCCACAGA